CAGACGCCCGCCGCTTGCTCGAACTCATCATGTTGCGACGTATGAAGGACTCTCCCTCTGTCAACCTCGGCCTACCGCCCAAGGAGGAAATCCTGCTCTATGTACCCTTGACTCCTATGCAGAAGTTCTGGTACACCCGTCTTTTGACACGTATGGACGATGGAATGCTCGACGAGCTCTTTGCTGATGGCAAATCCAAAGAGAAGGCCGCCATCGAGCAGGACATCGAAGAAAACAAGCTACTGGCGAAGATGGAGAAAGTAGACAAGGTGGTCAACTCCGGCGGTGCCGAGGCTGATTGGGAAGAAACCACCAAAATTCTGCAAGAAGCCGTTGCAAAGGAGCAAACCGACACCGACACCAACAAGGGTGCCTGGAAGAAGCTCATGAACCTCGTCATGCAGCTACGCAAGTGCTGCTCGCATCCGTACTTACTCCCCGGTGTCTCGCCCGATCCCTATTACCTTAGCGACCACATCATCCGCGCATCCGGAAAGTTTATCCTCCTGGAGAAGCTTCTGAAGCACACCGTCTTCAACGAAGGCAAGAAGGTCCTTATCTTTTCTGGCTTCACTCGCACGCTCGACTATTGTGAAGATCTCTTATCTCTCATTAGCAACCATGGAGAGCGCTTCAAGTCCCTTCGTCTTGACGGTAGCACAGCTCGAGCTCGGCGTAATTTGGACATCCGCCTTTTCAACCAGAAAGACTCCGATTACAAGGTCATGCTGCTCTCAACCCGCGCCGGTGGCTTGGGTATCAACCTCACGAGCGCTCAGGATGTCATTTTCCTTGACGAAGACTGGAACCCGCAGATCACACTCCAGGCTGAGGCCCGAGCTCATCGCATTGGGCAGACCAAGAAGGTGACTATCTACAAGCTCTGTACCCAGGGTACTGTCGAAGAGCAAATGATGGGTCGTATTCGCAAGAAGCTTTACCTCTCAGCAAAGATCACAGAGTCGATGCAGAGCGTGCATGGCAAGCAGATGGCCGACACCAAGAAGGCCGGACGTCCGTCTCTGAGTGAAGACTTGCCACAGATGGATGCCACGCAGCTCAAGACGCTTGTACGGCGAGGCGCCCAGGCATTGTCGCATCCGGAAATCGATGTCAAAGAGATGGTGTCTTGGGATCTAGAGACTATGATGGCCAAGTGCCGCGATGCCCCTGCCGATTTGACCGATTCAGCGACGCACTCTGAGGTTGATGAGGACAAATGGCTCTCTACCATGGAGCGAGTTGAATGCGCCGTGTTCGAAGGCAAGCGTCATCAACGCCAGCTTGACACCAGCTGGAAGGCCAACACATCGGCCGCAAACATTCTTCCAGACACCATCACTCGCGAGGACCGCCGCAAGGGAAAGAACACTACCGTCATGGTAGATGGCTTCGCTATCAACAAAGAGTCCATGAACTGTGGTGACTGGGAAGCGGTGCCGACATTCGCAGGCAAAGATCCTCGCCTCGCTGAACCAGTCCGCGAGAAGCGTCGCGAGATCACCCATGAAGACCACTGTCTCGGCTGCTTCGAAGACGCAGATGCTGGACACCTGGTTGAATGCAAGAGCTGCCCTCGTGCCTATCATTACGACTGTCTCGATTCCCAGTACAAGGCCAAAGTGAAGGGCTTCGCCGGCTTCTACTGTTCCCAGCACAACTGCACCGACTGCGGCAAAACCACCAACGACGCCGGCGGTCTCATCTTCCGTTGCCGCTGGTGTCCCCAAGGCTTCTGCGAAGACTGTCTTGACTGGGACGAAACCGAGCTAATCGGGGACACCCTCCCGGAATTCGAGCTCATGGGCGAGCAGCACACAACCGGTGGCTTCTACATCAAGTGTCCTACCTGTGTTGAGTCAGGCGAGGAGAGCGCGGAGCAGAAAAAGTGGGTCGCGAACATGGAGAAGCAGTACAAAGATCAGCATGACATCTGGTCGCAGGAGCGCGAAGAGGCGCAGCGTCAGCTGAACGAGATCGACGCTGATGATGAAGTTACTTCCCCGCCTGCTCTTACCGATACTTCGCTGCCTACTCCTGCGGTTGGCGGCTCTCGCGTCGGCACTCCCATGTCCATGGAGCCTGTTCAGAGTACCAAGAAGGGTGGCAAGAGGGTCGAGGCATTCGGCGAGACGCGCGAAGAGAAGCGGGCGAGACTTGATGCTCAGACTTGGACTGTTGATGAGGATCCGCTGATGCAAGGTCTTAAGATGTCAAAGGGTCGGAAGGGTTAGGCGACGCAGACTTTGGCTTGTTCAGAAGACGCAAGTTTGAAAAGATGGATCCATTGAAATCGAAGATACGTGCGATGGTTCTGGTTGTATTCCAGAGACTTATTCTGGGCGTTTAGGAGCTTGTCCTGGCATGCATGGATATACCCCCCTTGATGTTCAACGCTTTCATGGTAGTCGTTGAGAACCAGTTGATACGTTTAGTCGTACTAGCGATGGTTGAAACGATTGAGCGAAGAGCGAATGAGCATAGTAGCGCACTAGCGCGGCATACAGCGATAATAATGAAGTCTTTGATCAATAGTCTTCTTGAGGTGGTGAATCAGTGCTCGACTCTCGGTATCGATATTGCTGAGAAAGACGTCCCGAAGGCTGAGATACGGGCAAAACTTTGCAGAAACACAAGAGTTATGAGCAAAAATTGTGATCAAGGAGTGCTACTACTCACACTCCAGCATACTCTTTGCCATATGGATATATTGATACATCAGTTGAAAAGAAAAGAACTATGAGGCGTACACCCGCCTCACGCAAAACGCCTTTGCTGCATCATAGAAGGCCGATGAAGCTTGAGTAAACCCTCTGACCCTTCAATCTGATCAAGCTTTTCCCCGCTTCCTGTACCACATAGCTGCGCCATGTCGAAACGTCGCCTAACGGTCTCGTATCCAGTCCTTCAAGCTAGCAATACTCGACCTTCTCCTCCTCCTCGACCCACCTCCTTCCATCCCAATATCCATACTCCTCCTCCCGCTATCTATACTCCTCCGTCCCTTACTCTCTGTATCAAGCACAACAACGAGGACGGTACAGTTGTCCGCGCCCTTCATCTGGCCCTCTCTTGACGTCAACTCCTCCGCGATCTCCTTGGCTTCCTTCCCAGATTGCCACGCATCCACCGCCAGCCTTGTGCATTCCTCCGCCTCCTTCGCCGAACCGACGCCATCTGACGCGAGGAGAATGAGCGATTGGCCGTGCAGAGTGCGGGTGGTGAAATGCGCTTTGTTGGAGACGAGGTCGTGGACTGCGGTTTTTCCTGGTGCGAGACCGGTTTCTACGCCGATGAGGTCGGAGAGGTCGTGGCCTGCTAGACGGTTCACGCGTGGTTTCTTGTAGTCCAAATCGCCGAGCGCGCGCGACATGCTCACGCCGCCGATGCGGGCGATGCCGGATCGGTAGTTGATCTCGCCGCCGGCATTTTCTACGCGCCGTTTCTCCAGCGGGCTGTCGGGGGCGTGCTCCTCGCTGAGCGCTTCTACGTTCCAGCCGCTGGAGCTGACGCCGGAGTCTACCCGCGTGGGCGACTGTGGCGATAACGATTGCGGGGATTGGGGCTCGTGGTCTGCGAAGAAGACGTGGCTGTCTCCCAAGTTCGCTTGTATAAGCAAGCTCTGCTTTGTGTCGATGAGAACGAGAGAAACGGTTGAGCCTCCATCTAGGTTGGCGTGGTCAAGATCGCGGTCTACAGCCAGCAGAGCTCCTTGTATCGCGTGCTTATACTCGGCTACATTGGAAGGCTTCTGAATGGCGATGTGCTGTTCCAGGTGTGTATGCAGATGCTCTGCAACATGGTTTACTGTTTCTGTACCCCCACTGCAACCCAGTCGTTAGCTTACAAGCCACAACTTTGGAATTTTGTGTGACGCTGCTTACTGGCCATCATACACGGCAAAGACAGCGAGTTCTTTCCGAGCCTTGATTGAACCCGGTGTCAAGGTAACATAACGGTCTTCCTGATCTTCTCTCGCACCCAGAATCTGTGGGGAACAACGTTAGTAGGTGTAAAGAGGGATCTCGGTCTCAGCTCGGAAGAACCGGCATCTAGAAGAGCGGGAAGAGCATGCAAGGAACACACGACGCACCCTGCTGACACCAACGTCAATAATGTTAACGCTCATAGTTGGTTTTTTTCGTAATGAATGGAGTTTTTCGCGTGGGATGTAGTAGCAGCAGCGACAGACGGGGCTCCCTATGTTTGTTTTTCACACGCATTATACATCGTCATATGCCAAGCCTTGCCCAGCAACAGCTGCTGCGTTGATAAGCGGCGGCACACGCGACCCTCACAAACAAGACGTCATCTACCCTTTCTACCTGCATACGCTGGAGCCAATCAGGAACCCGCCCGCGCCACAGTTTATTGGCTTATGTACTCAGCCTCAATAGCCTAGACCGTGGAGATGCGCAAGTGTGTAGCTGCTTCTGGGTCTAGAGCACGGAGAACGTGGAGAAATCAAGGGTCATTATGTGGGGCACGTGACGTCGTGATCTGTACTGCGCGAACGGCGGGCCCAGAATTATATATGAGCAAACGAACCTCGCGCTGAGGATGCTTGTTGCCGGTGTATGCACATGCACGCCCTTACTTGGTGTTGAACGATGCTACATTCGACAGACGGGGGCTGTGTGCGCGATATACTTCATCGGCGGGGCAGTTTACCCCTCGTGATGCGTGGTTTTTAACATTTGGTATGTCGATCTATCATTGCTTGGCTGTTGAGCGAGCTTCCTCGTGAAGCTTGATGTACTACGGAGTATACTCGAGAGAGACTGAAATGGTTGAAAGAAAATGCCTCATCAGCTTGCACTGCCTCGTGAGCCAAGAGCTCCTAGATACGAGCTGCTCGTTCGGCCCTTTCCGATATCCACGAGATCCGCATGCCTTCGTCCGAGCCCACTGTATTGTGTTTCTTGTTGAGCATGAGTCCGAAAGTCCGGGGAGTACCAAAGGACTCCCGGCGACATCCAGAGGAAGGGCTGTCATCCTCCTCAAGCCTTCCGGGTGACACCGCTGTTCATCCATTCCTCTCGCAGTCTCTTCCAAATTCCATTTCCCCTAAATCCCCAAGCCCGTTTCTCCTTCTCCAGATTCGCAAGTTTGTCCTTCAGTATCTGGTCGTCTTGCTCTCCACCATTCCGTACAAGCTCAGCCACCAGCTCCTCGCAGGCGATCTCTTCGCTCATACACGCGCTGATTGCACTCAGACACTCTTCGAGGTCCATGTCGTACCCGTACAGCAACTCTCTTACTGTCTCCATGGCTCGTCGATCGGTCTTCAAATGATCGAGTAGCCCGCGAGGTTTTGAGGGCGACTTCACACCTTCGATCTTGACGCGGCAGCACGGACATGTGCGATGTGGGTATTTTGCCTCATCGATCTTTGGCGTCCTCATCCACTGCTCTAGACACGACTTCCCAATGGTATGACCGCACTGCTTGATTCGCACTGGATAGTCACCCAACAGTTGTAGGACAGAGGAGTCTTGGAATGAGGTGTATGAGAGTTGGCAGATCGGGCAGCAGCCGGCATTGTCATCGACCACAGAAGTGTTGTCTGCTGTGACGGTGAGTAGTGAAAGTGGAATGGCGCACGCGAAATGGTCGACGTTGGTAAATTCAGTCCTGGCGAGTATAACCTCGCGTGTCTCTTCTATTCCGGCGTCCATGTCAGAGGCACGCTTCAGACGCTCGTCAAGCTTTTGGACGACCTCACTAACATCTCGCCGGCGTTGCGGGTAGTCAAAGTGAAGAACTGTCACGAAGGCTGCCTGCAATCGCTCTTGCGGCGATGCGAGATTGTAGTTTGCGAGTGCCATGTACAGTCGTTCCAGATCAGTCCAGTCCTTTTCTCGTTCTTCCATTTGCTTCTCCACAGCGAATCTAAACATTCTTATCTCGTGTTCCCGGGTCATAGTTCTGTCATGGCAGTCGAGCATACCCAATAGCCACCGCCGCGCGGCATCGGCTTGCTGATCCGTCTCTTCGTCGCTCATGCCGGTGAGACGAGTGTTGTTTGCTGTACTTGGAAAGTGCTGTTGCTCTAGCTTCCGCAGCTCCGCGGGTGTCATGGAAAGTACGTCTTTGGGGTTCTTGTGCCTATACCCGAACTTGCGCATGTCTCGTAGGCTACGTAAGTGTGTACGCACACGTCGATATACTGCCATCGTTAGCAAAGAATCTCAAAGTATAGAGGCTCGACGTAAATGATTTCAGGATCGATGCAGGGCATGCAGGTGAGTTACGTACCTGCAGCGCTCGCCGGCGCATTGTTTATTGGCGGGACCAAATCTTGAGCTTCAGCGGACATGATTGCGCAAGCTTGCAGAGGTTGCTATTGAGTTTCCACGGTCGCGGTAACTCGAGAGTGGGATGGAGTGGAAAGGTTCCGGAATGGAAGGTACCGGCCTCACGTGTTTGCTCTACCACGAGGACGGAGCGACCTGAGTGGGGCAGCCCTTTCACACCCCGCACGTGACTGGTGCCTGTTGCGCGGTGAACGAAATATTCAAACTACACACGCAGATAAGCAGGTAGGGAAAGTGCCAAAACCATGTTGCCTAGGTAGCCATCATAATATGCTGAGACGATCGGTAGCAGCTAGTCACCTGGACAGTCCTGCCGAACGTGCCTCTCATCCTTCGCGTCGCAAAGTCCAAGTGCATCCCATGTTTGACAAGGAATAGATTTCTCAGGCAAATGCTAATGCTAAACTCCATTACTTAGTTATGCGCCAAAAGTATTACGGGTGAAGCTATCCTTTCCCCAAACTACCCGAAGCAATGAGTGCGCCTATCTTTTGAAGCCACTCTAAGTCCAACTTCTTCGTCTCTGACCTCTCATACCCCCTCTGCATGGTCAGTTCACCCTCAAACCACTCCGCCGACTTCTGTATCCAAGAGTGCCAGTACATTTGGTCCTCAATGTCGTCACGCTCTTCCTCGTAGTTGCGAAAAAGTTCCCGATACTCCGGTTCGGGAAATAACTCTGTGCGACAGTAGGGGCAAAGATGGCTAGCCCCTTGCCCAGCATGAATCCAGAGTTCCAGACACTCCTTGTGATAAGCATGTTGGCAAGGAACAGTCAGTACTCCGGGGAAAGGGCAGATGTCAGACCGACAAACTACGCAGTCCACGCCTTCTGGGTCCTCTATCTCTGTGGACACATCGGTGACAGGAATCATCGGGCCTACCCGTTCCATTTCTGACGCTTCCGATAACCTTTCTTCGATTTCGTAGTGTTGCTGGTTATAGGCCATCTTAATCCGTTGCAGTTCTTCGTTGAGATCGAATTCCACTGGTATACCGAATTTCTCCCGTATTTGACGCATGCTAGCTTCGTAATCGTCTAGCGACTTTCCGTAAAGACGACACTCGTTGAATATAAGTCGCTGGATGAAGGCGTAGTCGTTGCATCGACCGAGGCAGCCATCAAGAGCGTCATCGTATGGGTAATCAGTCCAGACAATTCCCTTGACATTGTGGAAGGCTTCAAGAAGTGCAGTGAAGGCTTCTACTGTGGCTCTAATATCCTCAGACCAATATGACGGAGGAGTGATTGCAGCTGCGTCCAGAAGAGTCAGGGTGTGAGCCTTCCCAATTGAACGCTTGACATGGTCATTCCAGTTGGCGTACACTGGGCTGTCTTTTCCATAAAGCTGAGTAAAAAGCTCCTCCATGCTGTCACGTAGGAAAATCGCGTTCCAATCATCGTCATCTGTCCAGGTAGCGTCTTCCACGTCATCGATTTCCCGAATGGACCATGTATCAAATACTCCGGTTTGAGATGGTATGGGCTGAGACGGAAAGCCCAGACGTTCCAATGGGGCACGGAACACGGCGGTCAGAAACTCTTGCGCCTCCGTTGGGCCTCGTGGAAAAGCATATAGTTTGGTTGTGAGAATGTGGTTGAAAATACTTGTAATCGGATTGTCGCTCATCTTGTTTCGGTATTTTCGTGTCGCTCGAATGAAGTGGGCTGGAATTTGTTTGCTGTGGGGTCGAACTCGTGAAGATTTTTGTCGCTATTTCATTGCCTGCTCTGACAACCTGTCAGATTACAACGTGCGCCGTAGTGTCGGAGGCCCATTGTGAGAAAGGTCTGCTAGCATGCGCAACGTGAGAAAACATTGACAAACAGGCAACGCAGAGTGAATGACAGTATAGGGGATGTCCATATGATTTTCCGGTTGGTATCCCCAATCATCCTCCTGAAGTAGTCGGGACTTTGAAGAAGATCGAGCAGCAGCCAGATCGACGAAGCGGTGAAAGCTTTCGCTCATACAATGGTCAAAGTCTCCACACTCTCCACTTCTTCATCCCAACTGTATAGCCTGCCTGTGCCAACCCTTCTAAACTCACTCTGCCCGGTCTCGGCTGCCGCTAAGACCAAAACCCCAACGTGAGCGCCCATGCCAGATTTCACGGTATATCCTTTGACGAAGGTAAGCTCCTCTGGGATATATGTAACTCTCTCCGGTAGCGGGAATTTCGTAAGGCCAGAATATGAACCATCATATGCGGAATGATCCATCGGAAGTCGGCACGTCAACCTGCGGTTCAACTCTTCCTCTGAGGGGAAAAGACCGAGAGGCGGGCCAGGTAGAACACCATGCTTTCGATCGTCGTAGAACCAAAACCCAGCCGAAGTACCGCCTAGACTACTCGAACTGCAGAGCTCTAGTCTACCCGCACCTAGTACAAGTTTCGAGGTCGTAAAGGATCCTGCCAACTGAAATTCGAAACGCTCGGCATCCCAGAAAGCTTTCAGGCAGTGAGCTTTGATCATGAGTTTCGCGTCACTAACGGATCCAAACGGGTTTTTGCCATCGATTTGAGTGCTCGCATCGATTATATGGATAGGCGGAGGGATGACCCTGCCAGAAGCGAAATCTTCTGAGGCCGAATGTATGTGCCCATCAATGCTTGCCCAGCTCCAGGAAGGGGCTCGATATCTGGCCGCCCTCGCAGGAAGATCCCAGGGATTCGGTAGGTGAGTCACCCAGAATAGTGAGAACTCAAACTCTCTACGCCAGTGACCCGCGAGATAGTCATCGTGTGTAATGGCATGTACTCGAGATGCTATGCCTGCCATGGCTGGTAGCTTGTCTGACGGGAAGGTAAGCTGACGAATGCTGTACTCTTCTACTGCAGAGTACCATAGACGATATATTGAATGTTTTATGATGTGTATGAGGAACTTGTAGAAGGTAATATCGTCGCTTGGCCGGATCAATCTTGGTGGAGTAGGAGTGCGATACGGAGGTGCGCGCAGATCGAGGATATGGCGGACTTTCCCTCCCTCCGTATCATGGACCAGAATAGGCATTGAATTCGGCGTTACGACACGAGTGCTTTCGCCCATAGCATCCCCTTGGCCAGCAGTACAGACGAAGCCACCTTCTGAACATATTTCCCCCCTTCCATATGCGTCATCTTCTTCCTCGAGTAACCAAGATCGCTCAAAGGCCCTGGCGAGTAAATTCAATCCTGTCCGTAAATCCAGTGTATTCCCTTTCGCGCTCAGGACTTGCCCAGTTTGATCTTGGATTCTTTCACTACAGCACCAACTCGCCTCGCGTTCAAAGAAAAATAGCGACCTTCGGGACAAGTACCTCTCCTGCATTGCCCATGATCTCGAGTCCAAGACGTTGGATATCGATTTTTCGTACAATATACGCATGCCTCTATAGTATCCATAGAAGGAGGTGAGAGCACTGAGGAAAGCCTGTCCCTTGTAGTCTCCAAATGATGGTGGTAATGCGAGAACATCATTCTTGAAATCCTCAGACGGACGGAACGGGACAAAGATCCCGGTTGATGAGTTGTTCGAGACCGATGCTGCCAGCGTGAGTGTGCTATCATGATAGATCGAGCCCATAAGCGCCGACTGCTCTTCCCAGTCGACTTCTGAATCTTGCACAATGCAAAGCCTGTCGATGAAAACGTACTTGATACCGAGCTGACGACAAGTGAGAATGGCATCCTTGAACGTTTTCGGAAGGGTAGCCCAGTCTATGGTATGCATGTGAACTTCAAGATTCTTGGTCGTGGTCATCCCTTCTCTTGAACGGCCCCAGCAATGACTCAGTGCCGCATAGCGAGCGTATGTACCCTCTCCCCGTACAAGATATGGGTTTTTACCCTCTTCGGCCACGTGTATCACTCGCTTTGGTAACTCTGGAATATCGTTACCACAAATTGTGTGGCTGGCCTCACAGTTCGCCAACCAGCGCCTGATGACGTCGAAATACGCCTGCGAAGGCAAGTCGCTCATTTGAGCGCGACCGGCAATGAAGGAGTGTTCTTTACCGGACAGGATGGGCTCTGAGCCTAACTCGTCACCTAGAGAAGGTGGTTAGACAGTAGCGGGTAGAACGGCATGCTTCAGTACCTTCCTCGACCGACAGAATCAAACAAGCTGCCATCCATCTCGACTTCAACCAGATACCCACATATAAAGTGCCCTTGATCTCCGGCTGCCACGAATACAAACTGCCTGGGATAATTTGCAGTTTTACAGAACTTACTTTGCGACCTTTGAGGGAAGGAATAATATGATCAGTGGCGCCTTCAAAATGTAATATCGGTTGCCTTTCATGTTCATTGGCGTCATCGATGCAACCGTGCAGCATCTTGCAGAGACGACAGCCTGCGGCAGACGCCTCCAGTGTGGCCGGATCATTGGCATGGCGATAGATGTTCGGGGGATAGAGATTCCTGAAAGTCAGACCGCTGCAAAGATGGCAAAGTGGCATTGTGACGGCATGGAGCGGAAACCCGATGACGAAGCAGTCGTTGAGCCTGAGGGACGGCCATCGTGTTACCTCACATTCGCTAATCCGCGGGGGCGTTATGTGGCTCAGATAAGGCTGTTTGTAACGCAGTCGCTAAATACGGACGCGCAGTGGATGCAAATTTTCGAAATGTAAGGAAGCGTGAATCAAGATGATATGTCCGAAATATAGAAGGAACCCAGGCATGAGTACCAGCGTTGCGACTGTATGGGCCTAGTGCGTTGAGGAGTCTTGGCGCGCGGGAAGAGCCGCAATTACTCTGGCATCACCGAGACGCGACCAGGACATAGCACGTATACCCCTCGATCGCCCTTTCCTTGCGCACCATGACCCGATAGCTGATTGTTCTTTTCCTCTTCTTAATACCATTCACAATCTCTCACCATGGCGTCGGCGGTGTTTTTTCTCGACCTGAAGGGCAAGGTATGGCGGTCAGGCCTCTGGGAGGGCTACCTATTGACCATCGCATAGACCCTTCTGGCGCGCAACTACCGCGGTGACATCCCCATGTCAGCCGTCGAGAAATTCCCCATCCTACTGAGCGAGGCCGAAGACGAGAGCTCGGCAGTCCCACCATGCTTCTCCAGCGAAGGCATCAACTACCTCTACATCCGCCACAACAACCTCTACCTCCTCGCCCTGACCAAGCGCAACACCAATGCGGCCGAGATTCTTCTGTTCCTCCACAAGATCGTCGAGGTCTTTACAGAATACTTCAAAGAGCTCGAAGAAGAGAGCATAAGAGACAACTTTGTCGTTATCTACGAACTGCTAGACGAGATGATGGACTTTGGCTACCCACAAACCACAGAGACAAAGATATTGCAAGAGTATGCATTTCATACAGCTGTACCACGGCTCTATAATAACAACAAGTCTGCAGATACATCACACAAGAGTCGCACAAGCTCGAAATCGCACGTCCACCCATCGCAGTCACAAACGCCGTCAGCTGGCGAAGCGAAGGTATCCGATACCGCAAGAACGAAGTCTTCCTCGACGTCATCGAATCGCTTAACCTCCTTGTTTCCGCGACCGGCAGCGTGCTACGATCGGAGATTCTGGGTGCTGTCAAGATGAAGTGCTACCTGTCGGGTATGCCTGAGTTGCGACTGGGTCTGAACGACAAAGCCATGTTCGAGACTACCGGAAGGGCTACACGAGGAAAGGCTGTTGAAATGGAGGATGTCAAATTTCATCAATGCGTGCGATTATCGAGATTCGAGAACGACAGGACCATCAGCTTCATCCCACCAGACGGCGAGTTCGAGCTGATGAGTTACCGTCTGAACACACAAGTCAAGCCTCTCATCTGGGTAGAGTGCATAGTCGAAAGCCATTCAGGCAGCCGGATTGAGTACATGCTGAAGGTAGGCAGGTCCCTGTATTACCAGATTTCAATAGACTGACACTTCACAGGCACGAGCGCAGTTTAAGCGACGAAGCACCGCCAACAACGTCCAGATCTCGATTCCAGTCCCCGAGGACGCAGACACCCCTCGCTTCCGCACAAACATTGGCACCGTACACTACGCGCCTGAGACATCCTCCATAGTGTGGAAGATCAAGCAGTTTGGTGGTGGCAAGGAGTTCCTCATGCGCGCTGAACTTGGTCTGCCATCGGTGCGCGGTGATGACGAGAAGGGTGGCGGTATGATGGGAGGCTTCGGTGGTAGCATGGGTGGTGTTGGCGGCGGAAAGGCCAAGAGGCCCATCAACGTCAAGTTCGAGATTCCTTACTTTACCACATCAGGTATTCAAGTGCGGTATCTGAAGATCATCGAGCCAAAGGTGAGTACAATCCATAGTGTCGAAGATGCAGCAGCTAACATATATGCAGTTGCAATACCCATCGCTACCTTGGGTACGATACATTACACAGT